GGCGGCCCTCTATCGGCTGGGGCAGTGGTGCCAGCGTGGTGCCGCGGATGGGCGAGGACTGCGCTGTGCTGCGCCCGGCGGGCCGGGCCGGGGCCGGGGCCGGAGGTGGGGTGGGGGCCCCGGGATCAGCCCCTCCCTGCTCCCCAGGCGGAGGAGTGAGATAGCTCCCTCGCCAGAGATGAGGTTCCACAAATAAAGCTGAGAAAAGAACAAAGTGTGCCTAAAGGGTTAGGACTCGCCTGTGGTTTCTCCCCCAGGCTCGTGATGTTCCAGGCACTTTCGGATAGCTTAGTTAATAACCAATAGGAGATGCATACAGATTTCAGGCCCCAAGACAGCTGGGCTCCACTGGGGCTGGAGACGGGCAGACGATGCCAGCCAGCAAGGGACATTGTGAAGGACAGCGTAGAGTCGTGGAGGAAGGTTAGGAAAACCGAACTCTTCAGCTTTTGAGACTAGAAAGTCTAGGAATGACGGGACATCTCTTAAGAGAGATGACACGAGTGCATTTGGCTCCTTGAGACTGCGGAGGGCTGGGTCCATGGTCCACGAGCGCCCTCACACCGCTGGAATGAATATTGAAGACCCTAACCTCTCTACCCATGTTTGCTTTTCAAGCGTTTTCAGTTGATCCCTTGAAGCCGGGTAATACCAACTTTTGCAATAGTGGAAATGCTGTATAGAAAACAAAGAAGAAAAGCAGCCATGCCAAAAATGCAGCAGCATACAGAGCGCATTATAAATGCTGCAGAAACTTAAAGATGGAAAAGTTATGCTTGGGGTCAGGCAGTACAAAACAACATTTCAGAGTTTAAAGCTCCAGCTCCTAATCAGCCACTGTGGCCTTGTTGTGAGCATTGCCTTGGGCAAGAAGTAGGTGGGCAGCAGGAGGAGAGCTTCAGGATGTTGTTGGGAGGTAATAGAGAGCATCCGTGATTAGATTGACTACAATACGAAGTGCTTTACAATATGCAGGACAATTAAAAGGTGCAGGAAAAAATGTCCTTGAATCCTAGAGAACAGGGCCTATGTCTTTAGGGTTTGGCATTATGCCACAAGGGAACCTCTTCCTAGTGGAATAAGATCTATGTGCATGTAAATTGTGAAAGTCAAAAAGAGAGGGAAAAGTAGTGCTTTATATAGTGGGGGAGAGGAGACAGAAGTGTGATATTTCCTCAGAATTCTACCATGCAAAACCATACAAATCTTTACCTGTGCTACTACACTTTATACGTGATTTAATGAGATACCAATTTGTAACTTTGAATATACATGATTTTTATCGTAAGCATTAAATATGTATGTGGGTTATACACATAAACGTATATGCTTGCATGTAGATATATAAGAACACATTTGAAAACCAAATCACAACTATTTGTGATAATAATAATAGGGAAAAGGGAGAACAACATGTTAGCTGATATTTAAAGATTTTCATTCTGGGTTTTTATTCAACAGTTTTCTTCTCTTTCTTCTCTTCATATTAATTTTCAGTGAACCATTCATTAAGTAAACATTTATTAAGCATCCACTGTGTATAAGGCCACTTTGGTAGGTACAGAAGTTAATGCAACATAGATCTCTCTTCTAATAGAGAAGATAAACATATATGGGAGTGTTCAGAGTAAGGAGTTTCTCAGGAAGAAGAGAGTTAAAAAAAGGCTTTGGGAGGAGGTCACATTTGAGCTGAAATTTGAAGGATTGGGACATATGGATATGGGAAAAGGGCAGTCTGGGCCAAAGGAACAACTGCATGAACAAAGGCATGAAAAATCCTGAGTCACTGATTTTAACTATACTAAGTCTTGGACACAGCAGCTTAAAAAACGTGGGCACATGTGTGTAAATACCCAAAAAAAATCCCTGAGAAGAGAATGGAGAAGTGATTGAGGTGGCCATCACCCCTAGAGAGGGGGTGATTTCTCATATTCCCTCCCTCTCTCTTTTTTATTCTTACCAGTGAGTGCACATGCCCTATAACAAACACAAACAACTGTGGCCACTGGGCAGTGGTGCTCCTTGAGGTTGTAGACATGGAACATATATAACATGGCTATATCTAACATCCTTGAAGTCTTAAATGAAGACATATCTCAGGAGGAATCATGAAACTTTCTATGTATTTTACTTACTTTAATTCTATGTTCATTTCATGGGTGGACAGCATCACCTTTAAGACTCTTATAAAGCAGAATCAATCCTCTAATCTTTGCATGCTTGCTACCATCACAGGGATCTAGGCAGACAAGTAAATGTTTGATTTTTGATCTCTGATTCCTTTAATACCTCCTAGGCTATAAACAGAAATCATGATAATATTTGTATTCTTTAGAGGAGGTGATATAAAAAGTAAAAAAAAAAATTATCACAAATAACCTTTACTGTGTATAATATGAATCTATTTTTTTTTCCAAAATCACTTGTTTAGTCCTTTACTGTATGTATTCATGAGCAGTAAAGTGGCTAAAGACTAGAAGTAATATGATAAAAATGGAACAGAATGCTTTGTATCTGGGAGTAGTTACACAGACCCTGAAATTTGAAGGGAGAGAGGCAGATTGCAGATCAGTCTTTATATGAAATTTAGAAATGAACTTCCTAGCCCCATCTGCCATCATACCTATTCTCTATAATTCAGTAATTGCACTACCATAATACTCCCTGCTCACCTTCTGGGACACCTATGTAAGTAGAATAAAAGACAGTTTCCATGTCTTACAGGCACTGAACTAGAGATGTTGATAGAATATTGGAAAAGGGGACCTAATAGCACAGATTTCTACCTTTTGCAGATAATGCTGTAGATCCAGATGTATCCGCTAGGACGGTCTTTATAGATGTTGAGGAAGTCAAGAATAAATCTTGTTTGACCTTTACTGATGATGGCTGTGGGATGACACCTCATAAACTACATCGAATGCTCAGGTAAAAATGTCTTCATTTTCTTTCTCTTATCTTGACTTCTTAAACTCTTTGAGTAGTTAAGTCTTAATAATTTTCTTTAGTGTTTAGTTTTTACTTTATTCATTCAACAAATAGTTATTATGTATCTCTTTTTTTTTTTTTTGAGAGGTTTTTGCTATAGGGTGCATGCACTTGCCAGACAGACAGAGGGAGACATAGAGACAGAAAGCGAGAAATCACCCCCCAGGGGGGTTGGCCACGCCACAATCCCTTCTCCTCCATTCTCCTCTCAGGATCTTGGGCACGCACACACACGCGCCCGGCGTGAGTTCTAAGCCACCGGGTCCGTGACTCGAACCGCGGTTGACTACGTGGGAGTCCAGCGACATAGCCATTATGCTAACTGCTGGTCCCAGTACAACAAACTTTTCATTCAACAAACTTTTACTGAGCATCTGTGTGCAAGACACTGAAGATAAAGTGGTGAACTGGACAGACACGATTCTTTTTAAAGAATTATTTAACTTTATTCATCATTACTATTATTTTTAAAAATTTGACCAGGGAGAGACAGACACACACACACACACACAAAGTGCCTTAACCACCACACTATCTGCTAGCCCTGATCCTTTCTTTCAAAGGGCTGACAGTTTTGTGAGAAAGAAAACAATTGACCAGTAATATATCTAGATAGGTTACCCTATCAGTAGTAACTGCTGTGATGGAAGAGTTAAGTTTCTTTGAGAGCTTATAACAGAGGGATCTAATCTGGTGTAGGTCATCATAAAAGGCTACCCCAAAGAAGTGATATTTGAGTTGAAATACAAAAGATAAGTATCATCCATTCAAAATTTTGTTTCCTCCTGAAGAAATAAAGCAGGCTGAATCTTCTTTAATTGTAGTACTTTCCCTGTTGTGTCAAATGTGTTTTCCTCTAATTTGAGTTAAGTAACTGTTCCTCATACTTAAACACAGTTTTAAAGAATTGTTTTAATAAGTATCTTGTAGTATCTGTACTAGATTTTATTTGTGATTGCATCTTAAATTTGAATTAGGTAGAAGATACCATTTATTTAAAAGAGATCATTTAGGCCCAGCTATGATGGTACAGGTGGTAGGATACTGCTGTGCAATACTGGATCCATATGTGTGGCCTGAGTTCAGATCCTAGGTAGACTTGAATTTGCTGGTCATGCTTATACACACCCATGATCCTTGATGGCTAGGAAGCTGGAGGAACAATTGCAGCATGGCCAGAGCCTGTCAAGGATTTTTTTTTTCCAAAAGAAAAAAGAAAAAAAAAAAGGACCAACAGTTGGCGTAATGGCTATGTCACTGGACTCCCATGTAGTCGAACGTGGTTCAAGTCCTGGACCTGGTAGCTTAAAGTCACACCAGGTGCGTGCGCATGCATGCCCAACCAAGATACCAAAAAGAGAATGGAGGAGAAGGGATTGTGGCATGACTACCCCCCCGTGGAGTGATTTCTAACTTTCTGTCTGTCTCTCTGTCTCTGTCTTTCTGGTGAGTGCATGAGCCCTAAAGCAAAAAACTCTAAAAAAAAAAAAAGTATTTCTTTCTCTCTCTCTCTAAATAAAACTTAAAATGTTTAAGAATAAGAGATCATTTTATCTGATCCTGGTTCTAGCCAAGGATTCTACTTACCTTCATTTATTTTTATGTTATTTTAATTTCTTAAATTTTATTGCCAGTTCTTTTCAAGTAATTGAACTTTAGTGGTAACTTTTAAATTATTATTAAGTCTATTATTTTTCTCTTTTTTACTTAGGGGCACATTGCTTTTATATTTATAAAATAATAGAAGTAATTATGCAATATCATTAAGCCAACAGAAATTCTGTTTGACCTGTAGCATTTGTTGTTATCCAGTCCACATTTTCTAACTCTTCATGCTGCTCTTCCTATCTTCAGGCTGGTAAAACAAGTGCGACAACAGTTTCTCCTGCAAACATAGAATACCATGCAAATAAAATTAAAAAGGAAAAGTCTATTATTAAATTCCTTTAAGTTCCTCAGCTAATTTTCTTGAGCTTCTTGGGATAGGGTGTCTATTAGCTAGCCTATATATTCAGCTGCCTTTGTCACCAAATACCCCTTTCAAAAGCTGAGGTTTTAAAACAACCACAGAGGCACAGGTTGAAGATATTTGCTGTGACTGTTCAGAAGTACATTTCCTAATAGGTCTATTCTTCTAAATTAATAGAGAACAACAGTATGCTTAGCCATCTTTCATTCTTTTCTATTATATACCAATATATATCCTAGAAACAATGAAAAATGTATATATGTACATGGCTTTTGCTAAGGTTTGTTTCATTGGTCAGAGTCTTGGCATTTTAATGCAATACAAACTTCTGTATTCTTGTAATCCACTCAAAGAGCTAGCATCTATGCCCCCTTGTAAAGCATCTTTCTTACATGAATGTATAGAATAGGACTGATTTAGCAAAGAGAAATCAGTTGTCTAAGCCAAGATAGCTCTGTGGAAAACTACTGAGGTATACCGAACCATGTAAAATTTGTTTCTACAATTCTATTATTATGTGTGGTAAGGACTTTTATATTAGGTAGTTGTGTGGTTGGTGTCCAGCATCCATTCTGTAAATTGGCAGTGAAATAGAATACCTGACAAGGGAACATAGATGCAGTGAAAGAACACATGGGAAGAGTTAAGTGAAACATTAAAACAAACAAAAGTCCAGAGCTTCCAAATCATCCCTTCACTTTATTCTTTTTCAATTCAGATTCTGGCCCTGCCCTACTACTTCTCAACCTCCTGTAGTCATTTGGTCTTCCCCAGCTCAGTAACACAATGAGGATTTATAATTGCAAAGGGAAAAATGAGGTAATAGTAGGCAGAAGAGGCTAGGAAATTAAGGGAATAATAAAATTTCCCTATTTTCACCACTTTCCTTTGACCATCTAGTTGAAACTTTTGTGGCATTAGAAAAAGTCCATGCTCAAATAGTTATATAAATTAATTTCATGTAGTATTGGGTTGTTGGAAAAGTCATGATGTATTTTTTTCAAAAGTTATTTATTTCTATAAAGAACAAAGATCAATCAATGATATATTGCCCATTTTGTTTGATAACCTTTTGCCATATTTCAGTGAGCTCCATAATTCCTTGTTCATAGAAGGACCTATATTTATCAGTGAAAAACTGAACAAGGTGCTGATTTACAGCCTCATCTGGATTGAATGTTATACCATGCAAGGAGTTTTGAAAAGAGTGAAAAAAATGGAAGTGTGAAAGCACAAGGTCAGGCATGTGTGGTGAGTGTGGCAACACAGCCCATCCAAAGTTCAATAATTTTTGAGAGGTGATCAGACTTGTGTGTGGTCTCACATTTTCGTGATGGTACACAACTCCTTTACAATCAATGAGCTCTGGACATTTCCGATGATGAATTTGTTCAAATTGTCCAATTGCCGACAATGCACCTTTGAATTGATTGTTTGGTTCCTTGGTAGGGACTAGAAAAACATGACATCTTTAAAATCCGACCACACTGAGAGCATAACCTTTCTCTGATGAGTCTGCTTTCGATTTTGTGTGAAGTGAATCATCATGTCAGGACCAAGACCATTTGTGCACTACATTGTTAAAAACAATCCCTTCTCATCACCAGTTATCAGTTGCTTCAAAAAAGGATTGTTTTCCTCATGTTTAATGAACATATCAAGGATATTTATACTTGCCATCAAATGAACTTCTTTGAGTTTATGAGGAACCCAAGTATTGAGCTTCCTTACATATCCCAGGTTCTTCAGGTGGTCTTAAATGGTTGAATGATGGATGTTCAATGTTACTGCAATCTCTCATATCATGTATCGTGGGTTTGACTCCATCAATGCCTTTATTTTGTCGTCATCAGCCTCAGTGGGCCTCCATGACTGAGGAGTGTCATTGAGGTCAAAAGCACCAGCACGGAATTTTGTGAACTATCATTGGCACTTGATGTTCTTGTAGATCATTGGCACCATAAACTGTACACAACTTTTCACAAGCTTGCCACGTGTTCGTCCCTTTACGGAAGTAAAATAGTAAAATATGGCAAAAATGTAGTTTGGTCTTCCATCTTCAACTTGTAAAATCTCCAAAACTCAACCAAATCACTTAATTTTTTTTAGAATGAAGCTAGAACTGTCAGCTGTCAAATGACATAGCAATAGCAGAGATGCAAATGACTCTAGTACTTCCAAAAATGACCTAGTGCCATCTGTTACAAAAAAATGTATCATGACTTTTCCAACAACTCAATAGGTAGGAACTATTTATAAAGAGCCCTTAGTTTTAGATGTGATGTTAGAGCTGAAGTAGGGATAAAAGTTAACACATGACAATTCACACAATGACTTCTACAGTGAGTTTAAAATAAAAGTTTGTTGAGACCAGCAGATGGTGTAATGGTTATGTCTCTAGACTCCCACATAGTCTCCCCAAGGTTTGAGTCACAGACCTACTGGTTTAAAACTCATGCTGGGGGCATGTGTGTGTGTGTGTGTGTGTGTGTGTGTGTGTGTCCAAGATCTCAAGAGGAAAATGGAGGAGATAAGGGATTGCGGTGTGGCCATCCCCCCAGGACGTGATTTCTCACTTTCTGCCTCTCTCTCTCTCTGATGAGGGTGATTTCTCACTTTCATCCTCTCTGTCTCTCCCTGTCTCTCTGGCGACTGCATGCACCCTATAGCAAAAAGCTCTCTCTCTCAAAAAAATAAAGTTTGTATACTACATCATAATTAATTTATTTTGCATATAAGTTATAATTTTATCCTCTGACCCCCATCTTTTCTAGCCAATTCTTCCACAAAAGGAAGAGAAATGCCAGAATCCTATCAATTTATAAGTCCTATCAACTTTATAGACTTATTTCCTGAAATATTAAGACCTGTCAGCAGCACAAACCTAGTGCTCTTTTTTTTCCTAAGGAACAGTGTCCCAGAAATGATCTCTCTCTCCTCTATTCCATTTATTTGTAGGATATGCAAATCTATAAAATATCTATTCCATAAATATATTTGGTATTGTATAACACTTGGAATTAGAAAACTAAAAGATGGTCACCTTTCTTAATGAGTAAACACACAAAACCACAACCTTTGGGGCTTGGGGGTTGTCCAGGGAGAATGGAGCTGCTGTCTGCTCCACCACAGTGGGGCTACAGGTACCACCCCACCCTCTACCACCTCACCCCACCTCCAACCTGCAGAGGGGAGCACGGAGGAGGGTGCTCTGCCTAGCGCTGTGGACTTAGCTAGGGCTGTGTATGCTCAATGGAGAGAGACAGTAGAGGGAAAGTGAGAAATCAGTCACCAAGGGTAGTGGACATTTGTAGTCCCTTCTCCATTCTTCTGGATTTGGGGCACAAACACACATGGTGACAGCCTAGAGAGGGCATCTGGCTTGCTCTAATGAGCAAGGCTCACCCTGCATCAACCCCCACAAACAGTAGGGGGTGCCTGGCCTCACTTCATTTGTGAGGCCACCCTGTACTGCCCCCTGTTGGCCAGCAGGAGTACTGGACTTCAACTAGCCTGTGAGACTTGTCCTACATTGCCCCTCTCAGTCAGCAGGGACTACTCGGCCTCTGGTAGCAGGGCCCTGGTTCCTGCTTCCTCTGCTTCAGCAAGCACATCTCCTTAGCACCAACTGGCGGGCACCACCTGGCCTTGGGCAGTGGCCCTGAGTGTCAATGGAGGGGCCACAGCTCTTCTCACTTTCTGCCTCTCTCTCTCTCTGATGAGGGTGATTTCTCACTTTCAGTCTCTCTGTCTCTCCCTGTCTCTCTGGCGACTGCATGCACCCTATAGCAAAAAGCTCTCTCTCTCAAAAAAATAAAGTTTGTATACTACATCATAATTAATTTATTTTGCATATAAGTTATAATTTTATCCTCTGACCCCCATCTTTTCTAGCCAATTCTTCCACAAAAGGAAGAGAAATGCCAGAATCCTATCAATTTATAAGTCCTATCAACTTTATAGACTTATTTCCTGAAATATTAAGACCTGTCAGCAGCACAAACCTAGTGCTCTTTTTTTTCCTAAGGAACAGTGTCCCAGAAATGATCTCTCTCTCCTCTATTCCATTTATTTGTAGGATATGCAAATCTATAAAATATCTATTCCATAAATATATTTGGTATTGTATAACACTTGGAATTAGAAAACTAAAAGATGGTCACCTTTCTTAATGAGTAAACACACAAAACCACAACCTTTGGGGCTTGGGGGTTGTCCAGGGAGAATGGAGCTGCTGTCTGCTCCACCACAGTGGGGCTACAGGTACCACCCCACCCTCTACCACCTCACCCCACCTCCAACCTGCAGAGGGGAGCACGGAGGAGGGTGCTCTGCCTAGCGCTGTGGACTTAGCTAGGGCTGTGTATGCTCAATGGAGAGAGACAGTAGAGGGAAAGTGAGAAATCAGTCACCAAGGGTAGTGGACATTTGTAGTCCCTTCTCCATTCTTCTGGATTTGGGGCACAAACACACATGGTGACAGCCTAGAGAGGGCATCTGGCTTGCTCTAATGAGCAAGGCTCACCCTGCATCAACCCCCACAAACAGTAGGGGGTGCCTGGCCTCACTTCATTTGTGAGGCCACCCTGTACTGCCCCCTGTTGGCCAGCAGGAGTACTGGACTTCAACTAGCCTGTGAGACTTGTCCTACATTGCCCCTCTCAGTCAGCAGGGACTACTCGGCCTCTGGTAGCAGGGCCCTGGTTCCTGCTTCCTCTGCTTCAGCAAGCACATCTCCTTAGCACCAACTGGCGGGCACCACCTGGCCTTGGGCAGTGGCCCTGAGTGTCAATGGAGGGGCCACAGCTCCAGAAAGCTACAGCTTTGCTCCAAGTCCTTTGTGCGACAAGTCCTCTATTCAGGGAATTAAAATTCAGGGTGTCACCATGTGGTGATCTCTTTGCCTCAACTTCCTGGTTAGCTGAGATCACAGTTGTGCACCATCACAGTGGCCTTTCAGGGTAGACCGGAAGCTGAACTCAAAAACTCAGGCCTCCTGTGTGGCCTCAGCATGCCAAGCAGCAGTGTCCAGTGTGTACTACCATGCTTATTCCAGGGGAGTGGTATGGCGAAGAGGCAGGTATCTTTCTACCCAGTCTTCTAGATACTCAAGGACCATAACATTTCCTTGGGCTTTGCTATGACAGAAAATATACAAATTGAACTTGAGTGGAATTGAGAGTCTGGAGCTAAATACCCACCCAGCAAACACAGGGTCCTTAGTCATTTCAGGATACTGCAGGATTGCCCTTATGAAAACATGAAGTAGAAAATTGTATATACAAGAGGATTATCCAGTGGCATGGTGGTTGAGGCAGCCAGGTCCCACATGACTGACTGACTGGATCGAGTTCTGGACCAGGAGACTTGGAAAAACATTCCCAGGTACATGGGGGTGTATGGATGCTTGCCCAAAATCCTGAGCATGGAATGAAAGAGGGTATCGTGGTGTGGTTATACCACCTGGGAGTGAGAGTGATTTCTCCCTTTCTCTGTCTCTCTGGGGAGTGTATGCTAACAATAACAAAACAACCTTCAGGAAGTGGAAGTGAGGCACCTCTGACCTCCCTTTTTAAAAGAGTAAAAACCAACACAAGGCTTCTCAGTCATGGCCTATTGAGTATTTTATTTATGCTAGAGAAGCATTTAATCTGTAATATATGAAGTCATTCCTTAGACTGTAAACTATGAGGGCAAGACTCATGTCATGGTTATTAAGAGTTGTGTCTCCAGTGCTTGACAATGCATGACACATAATGGGTACTCAGTAAATACTGAGTGAATGGTAGTGTTTAATATTATCAAACCCGTCAATCTGAAAAGAAACAATCCTTAAAATTGGTTTTATTTGCTGTGAGGGAAGATATAAAGGGAAAATAATAATTTCATATCTTCAGTTTTTTTGTTCTTATTTTGGTCTGTGTGTGGAAGAAAGGAAATGTTCTGACTCCCAGATTAAATTGATCATAAAGGGCTACAGAAATTGTTGAGGTGACTCAGTGAAAGGTCTTTAATAGAACAAGAGAGACTTTATACTGTAGCTGTTTATTGATATTCAGAGGCAGAACTACCTATTTTTATCCCTTGGCCAAATTCCAGTGAACTGTTCCAGCAGATAGATCAGAGGGTGAAAATTGGGAGGGTTATCCTTTGGGTGGAGAGTTGAAATTGTGAAGATACATGATCTCTGACTTTTAGTCTTCTAGAGAGCGATATAATCAAGTTAGGAGATGCTAGTCTAGTACATCTGACCAGTCCACTACTTGACATTTTTGTTACTATCTCTGGATAACTGCACATTCACTTTACCCTAACAGTTTTATCTAGACCAGAAAGATAGCTGCTCAAGGCCTTCCCTAACTTTCTGTTAACCAGTTAAAAGGGGCCTTCTTTACATTTATGAAGTGGGACTATAATGTAGTGGAACTATTATTGTGTACACAAACCACACAGGAAAATCAGTCCTATTGCCCCATAATAATTTCCTATGTTTTTAACTTAATAGTTCTGCCTGGAAATACCAAAAGAAGTAGAAAAGAGGGACTTTTTACAAGTATTCTTCATTTGTAAGTCAAACATTCTGCCTGTCATCTATTTTAGGATAATTTTTACCTTTCTGATTTCTTTTTTTTTTATTTCTTTTTTTCTTGTGTAATTACAGCTTTGGCTTTACAGATAAAGTAATAAAGAAGAGCCAGTGTCCCATCGGAATCTTTGGTAATGGTTTCAAGTCCGGCTCCATGCGACTAGGAAAGGACGCTCTTGTCTTCACCAAGAATGGGGGTACTCTCACTGTTGGACTCCTATCACAGACCTATCTGGAATGTGTCCAGGCCCAGGCAGTTATTGTACCAATTGTTCCATTCAATCAGCAAAACAATATCCTTTCTGGAAATGGAGAATATTGGTTGAAAATTAGTCTAATATATTTCGATAGGAACCTTTCTTCAGGTCAAATCCAACTGTCAACTTTTCATATTTGATAAGGTATTCAAATGTCTTAAATTTAATCAGGATGTTCCTCTATTATGTATTTTTAAAATAACTGGGCCGTTGACAAAAACTTAAAAATGTTTTTGCTATATTGAAATTTTTATTGTTACAAAGTTTGACCTATATAGTGTGTCTCTGCCACACTACCATCCCATGGTGTTTTCTCACAGCCTTCTCTTTTTTTCTCCCTAAGGATAGCTATATTAGTATTCATACTCCAAGAAACATACAACTTATCAGCTTATCTGATAGCAGAAAAACTCATTTTCCTATGACTGAATAAGCTGTTATTTCTATTAGATACCAGATTGCCTTAATTGGAGTAGTATTAGAAGTAAAATTTGAACTTGTTTCTTCCAAAGAGCTTAAAAATTTAGCTTTTGATCATTTTCTTAAATATAGGACTGTGTTTGCCCCAATAGCCTTTCTCCTTTCCCCCCCTTTCCTTTCTTCTTTAGCAATAATACCCATACTTTGTATCTATATTTTTGTCTAAAGATGCATCCCAAAAGGCAGATCATCTTTTTCAATAGCATCCTAAGATTAATTTTTCTTTGACTATATTTGGTTTTACAAAAAATGATTATTACTGAAGATTCCTTGCCCAGCCTAGAAGCCATCGGATAATTCTGGAAGATCCCTGCCCCAGCCTAGAAGCCATCCTGAACTATTCAATTTTCAACAGTGAAAATGACCTGCTGTCCCAGTTTGATGCCATCCCAGGCAAAAAAGGCACTCGCGTTCTCATTTGGAACATCCGCAGGTATAGTATTCCAATATAATAGATTCTAATGAGCAAATGATTAAGTACTTTTTAGAGAAGTAGAATAGATAATTTTTGATAAATATTTCTATTTTATCATGAACTTTTCTATAACTTTCTCTTAAAACCACAGTTTTGTTAGAGAGAGTAGTTTTTGTTGGCAAAATGTGATGTTTTCAAGGTGGAAAGGTGGTTATCCTGAGGCTGCTGCCACAGATAATCGAGACTGTTCAACATTATTCTCAGTTTCTCAGGATCTTTTATAAATATCTATTTTATATTTATGGACATTGTTTTGAGATTAGTGAAGAATAGTAATTTTACCTACTTGACAGTGAAAATGTATGAGAAAAATAAATTAGAGTAACAAAGGATATCTCAATCTTTAAAAAACTTGGGACCTCTGTATTAATGCTTTTAGAGGAACTGAATTAAATTCTTTTAGAGAAACTGAATTAGAAGTAGAAAAAAATCTTTAAAGTAGATCTATTTTGACTACAATGAGGATGACTTAAGATCTTTTCTTTAGAACTAATAAAAAATCTAGAACTCCTCTATGATATATCATTTGGTCAATCATGGCATTTTGGTGGAATACATTTGAGTGTAAAACCTAAAAACTAAAACCTAAAAACCTTTAATATAAAATAGAGCCATTACTGGTGTGTTTAATAGAAAATGGTATCAAATATATTTATTCTTCCTTTACTCTTGAGTAAAAGTATTTTTACCTTACTTTTATCTGGGTAAAACTTTTCTAGAAACAGTTCTGGTTTATATAGCAAACTTAACAATTAAAAAGAAAAAAATAAGAAGGACTCATGTTTTGGTGTCCTACTGGACAAGTAATATAATTTGTATGAGAAAGGATCATCCTCCCTCAATGTGTTTCTAGTGATTTAAACACTTTAAGGAACCTTTTTCTTCGTATGGGTCATTGGAAAAGTCATGATGAATTTTTCTGTTTTTCTATGCCAAAATGTGTCGTGACTTTTCTGACAACCCAGTGCATTGTTTCTCAGTTACATGATATTAGGTGTTATAAAGGATTGCATGGTGGGAACCAGCAGTTAGCGTAATGGCTATGTCGCTGGACTCCCACGTAGTCGACCGCGGTTCGTGTCCCGGACCCGGTGGCTTAAAAAAAACTCACGCCGGGCGCGTGTGCGTGCGTGCCCAGGATCCCGAGAGGAGAATGGAGGAGAAGGGATTGCGGCGTGACCATCCCCCCTGGGGGGTGCTTTCTCGCTTTCTGTCTCTATGTCTCTCTCTGTCTGTCTGGCGAGCGCACGCGCCCTACAGTGAAAATCTCTCCCCAAAAAAAAAAAAAAAGGATTGCATGGTCAGATGACTTTAGGAAAAGTTGACATAAACAAAGTATACCGTGTAGCTTTACTGTAGAACCTCTCAGAGGCTTTCATATACTCAGGAACATTGACAATATTGAAGAAAGCAACATAGTATTTAGTATTTCCCAATTTTCAGAAATATTTTTCCAGACCTCTTTTCCTTAGATGGGGAAGGTGAGGGATAGAGAGAACAGGGAACCTCCTCAAGGTATATATTTTAGAATAGGGTAGGGTAGTGAGAATCAAGATTATTATAGAAAATACAGAATATACTGTTACAATGAGATGGGCTTTCTACAGGCAGTCTGCCATAGTGGCTCTAGTTCGGCCTTGGAAAAGGAGCTGCATCTTCAACATAGCAGCTCTGAGCTTGTGGAATCTGAAAGAAGGAGATAACACTAGATCTTGAGATGACTCTGAAAGCTAAGAATTGTTCCTCAATTTTATTTTTTTATCTGATCATATAGTTTTTTTAAAATTTCTTGTTTAACAGTATCTAGAGGGACTACCATTTCACAGAATAAATTTTGGGAACAATTTTTCTGATATATACATTTTTTTCTCTAACCATTTATTTTGAGTTTTTTCGGGACAAAAATGGATCTTATCTTTTGGTTAATGAGGTAGCACAGGGTCTTGAAATGAACCAAAGCTAAGTGGCCTCAAAAGATTATTGGAAGGGGGCCAGCAAATGGTGTAATGGTTACATCGCTGGACTCCCACATAGTCAACCATAGTTCGAGTCCCAGACCCAGTGGCTTAAAAGTCTCACCAGTAGCATGTCTGTGCATGCCCAAAGTCCCGAGAGGAGAGTGTGGAGAAAGGATTGCAGCATGGCCATACCCCCATGGGGTGACTTCTCGCTTTTTGTTTCTCTGGCGAGTACATGCACCCTATAGCAAAAATCTCTAAAAGAATAAAAAAAAATTATTGAAAGAAGAAGGGTCCTATGGAAGGAATATTAATATTATTACATTTATATGGTAATTCCATAAATAGTTTTCTAGATGACTAGTAAATATATGTTGTTTTACAAGTCTTTTTTTCCTTCTAAGAAATTGGATTAAGTCTGGAGAAATTATTCATCTTTGATTCATTTATTCATTTAGTTGTGGAAAATTATGCTGAGTGGCTGACGCAGTAGTACCCAGAAAGTTAGGATCTATTTTAAGATCCTGCTTGAGGATAGCAACAGCTCACAGACATTCTATGTTACTTTTTATTTTTATTTTCTTACGAACTTAATATCACCACAGCTATGAAACAGTTTTGTTTAGACTGAAAATACCCTTACATACTGTGTAATCCTCAAACCAAGTTATGTATAGTTCCTTTGCACTGGTAGTCAGGGACCAGATAACCTGAGTTTTGGCTCATACTGTTTCTTTTCTCTTGGGTTCCTAGTGCATTTTTCTCCTTTGGAGCCAGTTTTTGTTAGATTGCTACTTGTCTCTTTTACCCAGAAATAAAGATGGAAAGTCTGAGTTGGACTTTGATACAGATCAATATGACATCTTGGTATCAGATTTTGACAAAGAAGAAAAAGAAACTGGTGGTCTTACCTCTGAGCTACCAGAAACAGAGTATTCTTTACGGGTGAGTAAGAGTGGTTTTTCTTCAACAATGAGAGGTAAGATTTCCTATAATATGAGACTAGTATAGACCCAGATCATATATTAATTATTTAAAGATGAAGACCTCTTTTAGCCCTGTTCTAGGATTCTATTTTGCTATCCCCACTGAAACAGTTTAGCTAATACAATCAGCAGCACTTTGGTGTGATAGTTTACATAGCGTAGCAAGGTATAGAAACTGAGCTAAATTTTTGCCCCAGATAGATGTCAGTTACTAGAAATGATTTATGGAGATGTCAGTAGAATTGGCAATATCACATAACTTTCCCTTCACTGTTCCATAGGCATTTTGTGGTATTCTATACATGAAGCCACGAATGAAAATTTTTCTGCGTCAAAAGAAGGTAACCACCCAGATGATTGCCAAGAGCCTGACCAATGTAGGATATGATATATATAAACCTACCTTCACAGTATCCTTACAACTACATGAAGTTGTCTTCTTCATTTCAGTTTTAATTTTCCAGGTTGACAGAAAAACAAAAACTTTCCTGTTACTATTCATAAATGTGTATTCGTAAATCCTATCACAGTGTATGAATACTAAAAGTATTTCTTAAATGCCAATCAGTGTACCAGTTTTATCAGATATCACTTATAAACTGTTAAAGTTAATATGGAGTCCTGAGATTTTGGAGAGTCTGGTTAAGTAGATACCCATTTTTTTTCTTTATTTTTTTAGGTTTTTGCCATAGGGTGCATACACTCACTGGAGAGACACAAAGAGAGGGAAAGGGAGAAATCACCCCGTAGCAGGGATGGCCATGCCACAATCCCTTTTCCTTTATTCTACTCTCAGGATTTGGGGCACACATGCACACATACTTGGTGTGTTTTTCAAGCTTCTAGGTCCAGGACTCGAACTGCACAGTGGTTTTTGTGAGACCCAGTCACCTTCATCATACCACCTGGCTGGCCCAAGAACTTTATTTTTTAAGCTCTAAACAAACCCAACTGAAAGTCAGAGCTAGCATTTTTAGTATCTGTAGTTAAATAAGTTGTAATATCACTATATGTAGGTTAGGATCTTAGTGCTGTAGATGAAACATACTCAATTAAAAGAAGTGCTTTCTAACTAGTATTTTAAGATATACCACATTTCTGTCTCCAACCTCTTTTTTTGTGTGTGAGTTTCTATCAGGGCAACTCCTGTGCATACATTCTATATGTACCTCAACTCTTCTCAGTGTCTCTTTTTATTAAACTAGTTACTTCTCCATATTACTATTTGGGCTGAATAGATTCACTATAGGCATGATTAAAATAGAACTCTTAATAAAATTTCCCCCAAGGTCACTGAGGAAAAAGATCACTGGTGTTAACTTACTGCTCTTATCAAAGGCTTCTTTTTTGCTCTTTGTTTTCTCTCTTTATACTAATTCAAGAAATCTTCTACCCTGGTATACTCCATCCTAAAATTTAGAATTTTTAAAGTGTGCAATAGCAAGAAAAAGTAGACAGCCTTTATTTTTAAAATTTTTTTATTCTGAAGACCAGCAGATGGCAGAATGGTTATGTTACTGGACTCCCATGTTGTCAACTGTGGCTTGAGTCTAGTGGTTTAAAACTCATGTTGTGTGTGCGTGTGTGTGCATGCACAAAATCCCAAGAGGAGAATGGAAGAGAAGGGATTATGGCTTGATCACTCTCCCTGGGCGTGATTTCTCACTTTCTGTCTCTCTGTCTCTCTGTCAAGTGCACGTGCCCTGTAGCAAAAATCCCTCTAAAAAAAATTTACTTATTCTGGGAACCAGCAGTTAGCGTAATGGCTATGTTGCTGGACTCCCACGTAGTTGACCGCGGTTCGCATCCTGGACCCGGTGGCTTAAAACTCACGCCGGGCGCGTGTGCGTGCGTGCCCAAGATCCCGAGAGGAGAATGGAGGAGAAGGGATTTCGGCGTGACCATCCCCCCTGGGGGGTGATTTCTCGCTTTCTGTCTCTAATGTCTCTCTCTGTCTGTCTGGCAAGCGCACGCGCCCTATAGTGAAAATCTCTCCAAAAAAAGAAAAAAAAATTTACTTATTCTGTTACTTTAGTTTTGCTACAGGACATGTGTACTTGTCAGATAGAGAGAGGAAAAGTGAGAAATAATCCCCCCAGGACGGATGACCATGCTGCAAGCCTTTCTCCTCCAGTCTCCTTGGGATTTGGGACACACATGCACATACACCCAGTGTGATTTTCAAACCACCGGATCCAGGACTTGAAACACACAGTCGGCTATGTGGAATCAAGCACCTTAACCTCCCTCCATGCCACCTGCTAGCCCATTCTTTATTTTTTTTAAAGTGGATTTTATGGTGTGAGATTTTTTGGGGGGAGAGGTTTTTTCTATAGGGCACGTGCACTCACCAGAAAGACAGAGAGACAGAAAGCGAGAAATCAACCCCAAAGAGGGATGACCACGCTGCATTCCTTCTCCTCCATTCTCCTCTTGGGATCTTGGGCACGCACGCACACCTGGCGTGAGTTTAAGTCACTGGGTCCAGGACTCAAACCGCGGTTGACTACATGGGAGTCCAGCGACAATAGCCATTACACCAACTGCTGGTCCCTGGTGTGGTATTTTGATTTTCTTGTTTGTGGAGACTTTTGTCTTATTTTAGTGTTGGGATAAGGTTTTATTCAAGGTTTGATTTGAGTTCTTGAAGCCTAGAACATTACATATATGGTCTGAGCCAAACATTATGGTGTTATATGCCCACTTGTATCATGTCTTTGTTATACCTGACCCATTTTTCATATAGTTTAGAGGCAAATAGTTTATTCAGAGGGGCAGTAAAAGTCATATTTTGAATACATAAAAAACATATTTTCATACAACTCATTTAGACATGAAAGTTCCTTAGTATTTGTTTTAATAAAAATCTGTTTTTTAGGACCAGCAGAGGGCATAATGGTTACATTGCTAGACTCCCATGTAGTTGACCACAGTTTAAGTCCTGGACCCAGCGGCTTGAAACTCATGCTGAGCACATGTATATGTGTCCCCAAAATCCCAAGATGAGAATGGAGTCGAGAAGGGATTGCAGTGTGGCCAGTTCCCCTGGGGAGGGGGGGATTTCTTGTCTTTTGTCTCTCTGAAGAGCACCCTATAGCAACAATTTCTCAAAAAAAAGTCTGTTTTTCTCTTTCCCCTTTATCTATTAGCTTGCTTTTTAAATCAAGTAGGACTGGTTAAAAACTTACTATTCACCAGGCCAGTAGGTGGCATGGTGGTTGGGGGCAGTGGACTCCCACATGGCTGGCCATGGTTCAAGTCCTGGACCTGATGGCTTGCTTTCTCTCTCTCTCTCACTCACTCTGTCCTTCTCTTGTCAAATTTAAATAAATAAAGTTAGATTAAATAATTCTTTAAAAAAAATCCCTTACTATTCATATTTTGCATGTAATAATTTGTTCTCTTAAATTTTAAAAAATTTGCAAGGGAGTACTTGCACTCACTGTAGAGAAAGGGAAAGTGAGAAAGCATCCCCACCATGGGGAACAAACATACTACAGTCCTTCTCCTTTACTTTTCCCTCCTTTCCAGATTTTGGGCACATGTGTACTCCTGGCATATTTCTTAAACTGCAGGGTTCAGAACTCCAGTCATGCAGTTGGTCACGTGAGCTCCATCTGTCTGAACTACCACACCACTGGCTGACTCTAGTTCTTTTAATTTCACCTGTCCAAACTTGTTAACTTCTTCCTATGAAATATATTACTACAAGATTATTCATTGTCCTTCAGTTTTGTTGACCATGATTTAGGTCCTTAATTTCCTGTTTTCAAGCTGTGTAACCTTTGGTAAATTGTTTCTCTGAGTCTTAATTTCCTTACCTGTAAAATGGAAATGACAATAATAATCTTTTTTTTTTTTATTTTTGAGAGGTTTTTGCTATAGGGTGCGTGCACTCACCAGAAAGACAGAGAAACAGAAAGCGAAAAATCACCCCCCTCCCCCAGGGGGATGACCACACCGCGATCCCTCCTCCTTCATTCTCCTCTCAGGATCTTGGGCACACACCCACACATGCCCAGCATGAGTATAAGCCATCAGGTCTGGGACTCAAACCCACGGTGGTCTACATGGAAGTCCAGTGACTTAGCCATTATGCCAGCTGCTGGTCCCAACAATAATGATCTTAATCTCTGATGATAATTTGACATATTTTCTTAAAGTCTTTTCTACACATGCATGTGTGTATGAATAGATAGGCAGATACATAGAAAGATATTGTTTATTGTTAAAATCTGAGCATTTCCTAATATTCTCAAAAATATTTCAAGGACTTAATTTTAAGAGTTACATAATAGACTGTGAAGCTATACCTACGTTTAATCACTCTTTTATTGTCAAACATTTAAAATATCTAAATGTTCTCCTATTATAGGTAATTTGAATATCTCTGCAACTCATTCATAAATCTTCATGGACTACCCTGTTTCTGTAGGATAAACTCCTAAAAAGAGAATTAACTGGTCAAAGGTTAAGAATATTCTTAAAGCAATTGCTACAGATTTCTAAAATGTCCTCTAGAAACGTGTACCAATTTACATCCAATAGTATTTTTTATGCAAAATTTTGTCTTCTAAAGTCCCTGGTGTTTGGCTCCTTAATGATTTTCTTCTCAGAATAAGCAGGTGAGAATCACTTTTGGATTCTCTTGCAAGAATAGTAACCATTTTGGAGTAATGATGTATCATAACAACCGACTCATAAAGTCCTTTGAAAAGGTGGGATGCCAGGTGAAGGTGAGTGGTTAATGATTCTTTGTCATAGAAGACTGAAAAATATATAGGACGAGAATTTAAAATTTTCACAAAGGATACATTCACTGATAGCTTTTACTCTCATAATGATTATTGATTTTTAATCCTGTAATTCTGTGTCACCAGTGAGCCATCTTCTGTTGAAAAACTTTCTACCTCTCGTTCTTCAAATATTAATTATCCCAGGAACATTACTGAATGCATTTTTTAGGTAGCTGTTAAAAGAGGGAGAATTAGAACAGGAGTAACTTCACTAGGTGTATCAGCTTACTAGTGCTTAAGGAAGCTCTTTCCACTTTCTTAGGATCTAATAAAGGCATAGTAGAAAGTACATCCAACTTGGTGCTTGAAGACCAGGATTTGGGTCCTGGATTTTCCATTTATAAGCAGTGTAACCTGGGGTGACTCATTTAATTTCCCTGAAGCTCAATTTCCTTACCTGTAAAATGGAAATGATAATAATAATCTTACCTGCTTTTGCCTACCTCCATGTTTATGGAATTTAGATATTTAATGGATGAATTGTGTGAAAATGTTTTATAAATCAAGCTACAAATGTTACCATCATCTTTAATGTTTTAATGAATGCTAAACTGCTTTATATTACATAGTAGGGCAGTTATATAGGGACCAGGATAGCCAATCTTGTTTTTCCATGTTATATCATCTTTAGACAATTCATGTTGTACTAGTCTAATTACACCTTGCCTCCTTTTCTTATATTAAACAATTTTTAAAAAAGCTAATTCCACAAAACTCACCTATCAAATTGTAATGGTAATCACTGCAAGTCTGACTCTTTTTAGTGGTTGTTTGATGGTCTATATATAGTTTTCAACAACTTCATGAAAAATGTACATTATGAGAAAACTATGCATGTATTTCAAAAAAAAAAAATTGGCACCAGAATAAACCCAGCGTTTAATTCCATTTTCCACAACCTTTTTGAAATTCTCATTTTTAATTGCTTATTTTAATAAATAGGGTGTAGTAATCACAAAGTATACTTAAATATTTTTTAGAGGAAGTTTTATCTCATTTTCTTTAGAACAGTAGTATATGTCTCTGAATTTTTTAGATATATAATTCTTACTCAAATGAAATCTTATGGCAGTCCTGGAATATAAATTAAAGTGGAGGTAGTGTGGGTGAAATAGAAATAATTATTAATTTCTCTAGAGAATACTATGGGTCTAAAAATCATATTCTGAAATCCTTTGCCCTGTAATTTGTCAGAGTTTTAATTCAATGTAATACTTACAGTCTATTCAAGTACTTCTTAAGTGTTTTTCTAGATCTTAATGGCCTTTCCTCACCCATGAACATTATATAACTTCTCTGTTACTATTTGGTATCAAAGGGAATGCCTCCAGGCAATCAACAGCAATGTAAGTGATGAAATTAATATTTTTCTTCGAAGCCAACTCGTGGAGAAGGTGTAGGAGTAATTGGAGTCATTGAGTGTAATTTCCTAAAACCTGCCTACAACAAACAAGATTTTGAGTACACTAAAGAGTACCGGTGAGTCGCTCCCAACCTTAGGTACTTCTAATAGTTTGTTCATATATGATTTATTCTCTTAAACCTCTAAAACCATCTCTAAAAACCAGTTAGATAAGTAAACTGAGAATTACTTCAAAGCTGTGTACCAAGATTGGAGATAAAATTATTTTATTTTATAATTAAGGCATATTGATACTTAGTATATGGAGTCCAGGTGAGAGAAATCATAAGTTATCTTTAGAAATCATGGGGACCAGTAGTTAGCATGATGGCCATGTCACTGAACTCCCATGTAGCCAACCATAGTTCGAGTCCCGGACCCGGTGGCTTAAACTCATGCCGGGCGCACGTGCATGCGTGCCCAAGATCCCAAGAGGAGAATGGAGGAGAAGGGATTGAGGCATGGCCATCCCCCCTGGAGGGTGATTTCTTGTTTTCTGTCTCTCTGTCTTTTTGGCGAGAGCATGCACCCTATAGCAAAAACCTCTCAAAAAAAATTATGGCAAGGACCAGCAGGTGGCATGTTAGTTAAAGTGTTAGATTCTCAAATCAGTGACCATGGTTTAAGTCCCGTACCCAGGGACTTGAAAATCACGCTGGGACTTGTGCATGTGTACACAAAATTCTGAGAGGAGAGTAGAGGAGAAGGGATTGCAGCATGGCCATCCCTCCCAGGGGATGATTTTTCACTCTCCCTGTCTCTCTTCAATGAGTGCACATGCCCTATGACAAAGAAAAAAAAAAAGAAATTATAGAAAAAACATTGGAGTCATGTGGTAAAATATTTCTGGTGAAACAAAGAACTTTGGAGTTAATCTTAATGAAATTAGTGAATCTGAAGTTATTGAGTATGTTGAGAGGAAAAATGGTATGAAGTTTGTTCCAAAAAGTATTTCTTGAAGCCAGTCAATAGATTTGAAGTAAAATGTTGGAACAGCAAGAAAGACATGTTCTTCCATAGAAGCATCTACACCTAATAGGGAAGATGATCAGGTAAGACTCAGAAAGGAACTTGATATTGAGGCTGAACATAAAAATATTTTTAGAAGACAAAAAGAAGAGTTGTTTAAAACCAGGTTAGAATAATTTGTTTTAAAACTGTTGAGAAATAGATCAGAAAAGAAATTTCTCTTTTCATCAAATATTATGAGATTCCTCCTAAGTACCAGGTATGAGGGATGTAAGAATGAAATTTAAGAATCCCTGATGCCCATGAACAAATGTAATGGACTATATGGAAGTAAGAAAATGAAATACCTATAAAAGAAAATTTTATCATACAGACTAAAATACAGGCTTTAATGGAAGATATATGCAAAGTGGGGAGAACCTTTAAATATGTATAACAAATTCAAGGAGGGTTTCACAGAACAGATTATATTTAAGATTAAACTGAAAGGAAAGAGCAGAAAAGGCAAATGTAGGTACTAGAGACAGTATAGGAGGGTGTGGGTAAAGGGGGTGAGAGGGAAGGGATCGTGGGGGGGGACAACATATTTAATAGACATAAAAATGGAAAGTTATCTGCTGATGATAATTTATATGGTAATGTCTTTGATTTAACTAATATGCACTGTATTCATGCTGGGAAAAAATGTAGTATATTATAAAAATGTACAGTGGTTAAATTAAAAAAAAAAAGAAAAATCTTCAAGAAAAATTTAGTTTTATAGGCAGACAAATAGGGGAAAGATATTCTAAGCAGAGAGAAATATATGATAAGACACAAAAAAGGTAAGAGGTATTCTGGGAATATAGAGAAAGAAGGCATGAGGACATTTGTTGTCCTTTTCCTTGAAGTCTCAGCAAAAATGTTTTGGAGTGAAAAGTAATTTCCCAGATTTCTTTTGTGCCAAAACCATAATGAAGTTAATTAAATATTATACTTTATTTGTAACCATAAGAATTTTAGAGTTATTGTTTGATAGAGACAGAACTTTTTGAATGAGAACCCAAAATTAATTTCAGGGTAATTGCATCTTGTCACTTGGGCTACTCAGTGGTTATGACGACTACCTGCCCTCAATCTAAATAAAATGATTGTTTAAATCTGAGTCTGGCCAGGGCCAGCAGGTGGCACAGTGGATAAGGTGCTGGACTTCCATATGGTCAACTGTGGTTCAAATCCTAGACCTGGTGGCTTGTAGTCTCATTTTCTCTCTCTCTATCTCTGGTGAGCACACATGCCTGATAGCAAAAACTTAAAAAGAATATCAATAAGGGATCAGCATATAGTATAATGGTTATGTCACTGGACTCCCCCATAGTTGACCACAGTTCGAGACCCAGTGGCTTGGATCTCATGCTGGGTGTGTGTGCATGCATGACCAAAATCCCAAGAGAAGACTGTAGGAGAAAGGAATATGGTGTGGCCGCCCCTCTGGGGGTTGATTTCTTCCTTCTCCATCTCTCTGTCCAGCAAGTACACATGCTCTATAGCAAAAATCTCTCTTGAAAAAAAAAAAAAGAAAGATTCTGAATTCTTTTTAGTTTGGAGAGGTTTTTTGTTATAGGGTGCGTATGCTTGCCAGACAGACAGAGAGAGACAGAGAGATAGAAAGGGAGAAATCACTCCCCAAGGGGGGATGTCCACTCCGCAATCCCTTCTCCTCCATTCTCCTCTCAGGATCTTGGGCACGCATGCACACGCGCCTGGCGTGAGTTTAAGCCACTGGGTCTGGGACTCAAACCGCAGTAGACTTCGTGGGAGTCCAGCGACATAGCCATTACGCTAACTGCTGGTCTTGATTTGTGAAATTTTTAAAAATTATTTAACATCTTCCCATATCATTTTTGTCACCCTGCTTCTCAAATACCTTTTAAATTTTAAAGCATTAGTCACTTAGATTTGATGTCTAATTTTGGTATGATGAATTTGAAGTGATTGCAAAGGATCCAAATTGAGATAGCCTATAGATAGATTTATTCAGTTAAAGATTTAGAATTTCTGGTTTAAGTGGCTTCATATCTGTTACACATTTTGTGAATAACAGAGAAGTAGTGTATGCTATGTAGTCTTCTGCGGATAATATATTTGTGTAATTCTCATCCCAATTCTAGCCCATTTAGTTTTTTTAATCAGTTAACTCTATATTAAAAAAAGAGGTTTAGACTAAAATACAGGGATTTGAGAGAGAGATTAGGGAAGATTGTCTGCTATCACAAACAAATCCTATGAATATTATAGGTATCTAAACTCCAAATGATAAAACAGATATGAACCGTAATACCATTGGAATGTCTACAAATAAAACATTCATAATATCACCTTTAATAGTTGTAGATATCAGATTCCAACTGCAGTTATCAGGGTTCAAACGTTAAAGCATTTTTAGAGTAAACTTTGGCTTTAAGGGATAGCAATCAATATATATAAACTGAGCGTTCCACTGGTTTGTAATATAATGGTTAGGCTTTGTGGAATTTTCCAGACAAATTCAAGACTGTCTTTAAAGAGCTTATAGTCTGTTTATATTAACAGACTGTCACATTTTATGTAACCATTTAGAGAGCAATAAAATGGCTCTTCAATCAGTACCTAAGTGTTATAGTTTAGGAAAAATGACATAATATTGGGTTGTCAGAAAAGCCATGACTAAGAGATAGGGAAAGTTTCAGGTAGAAAGTATAACTTGAGGCATACCTTAAAGAATACAAGGTTTAGAAAGAGAGGGAAGGGAATTCCAGGTTGGAATGGTAAAGATGGGAAATGGAGGTAAGGGGCTATAACTAGAATAAAGGGAAATCGAGTATGATGGTTAAAGTAGGACCATATCTTAGAGCAGAGTTTGGCAAACTTTTTCTGAAAAGGGCCAGGAAGGAATGAATGTGGCTGTATGCTCTATTTGTGTGTGTGTGTGTGTGTGTGTGTGTGTGTGTGTGTGTATGTATAATTTTTTTAGCAAAGGATGTGAGCTGGATTTAATACCTGGACCGTAATTTGTAGACTCCTGTCCCAGAACCACCATTCCTGACATGTGTGCCAAGCTACATATAGTAAACTCACAGAAGAGCCATGAGATTTTTTAATAGATTTTTATTTTTAGAATTGTTAATTTTATATTATTTGTTTATTATTATTCTTCAATTTGACCAGAGAGAGACAGAGAAAGAGAGGGAGGTAGAGTGAGAAAGCAAGCTGCCAGGTACAGGACTTGAACTGGTCAGCATGTGGGAATCTGGCACCTTCACCATACCACCTGCTAACCCGCCATGAGATATTTTAATCATGTTTTTTTTGTCTTTTTGAGAAGTTTTTGCCTTAGGGCATGTGCGCTTGCCAGAGAGAAAGAGAGAGACAGAGACAGTGAGAGGGAAAGTGAGAAATCACCCCCCAGACGGAATGGCCATGCCACAATCCTTTCTCCTCCATTCTCCTCCCAGGATCTTTGGTACACACACACACACACACACACACACACACACACGCACATGCACACGCACACACGCCCGGCATGATTTTTCAAGTCACTGGGTCTGAGGCTCGAACCGCAGTCAGCCATATGGAAGGCCAGCAACATAACCAATACGCCATCAGCTGGCCCCACCATGAGATATTTTAAATTTGTGAGAGAAGTATAGTGATACCCAACTTCTCCCTATAAATGGTTATCTTCTGTTAACTGTTTTCTATTATTCTAGCTATAAAGTGTGTCTCCTATTGCTGTCATAACAAATTACCACAAATTTGGTGACTTAAAACACTAATTTATTATCTCAAAAGTTCTGTGGGTTAGAAGTCTAACAGATCGCACTTGACTGAAGTCAAGATGTTTCCAGGTTGCATTCTTTTCTAGAGGTTCTAAGGGAGAATCCATTTCCTTGCCTTTTCCAGATTCTGGAGGCCGCCAGTATTCTTTGGTCCATAACTCTTCCTTCAACCTCAAATCCAGCAATGATCCATTGAGGCTTCCTCATATCACATCACTCTGATGACCTTGCTTCTGTTATCACGTCTTTTCAGTTCTGATTCTTCTGCCTCACTCACCCACTTTTTAAAGTTAATTAGTTTTTTTACA